TAGTGATGGGACGGTATTTGAGGAACGGTATTTTGGAGCGGTATTTTTGAGGAGCGTACCGCTTCCACGCGATTTTAAAATACCCGTTACAGAACGTTACTAATATATTTACATATTTGTAGTGATGGTTCGGTATTTGAGAAACGATATTTTGGAGCATTATTCTAATGGAACATACCATTCCTGCGCGATTTTTAAACTACCCGATTCTAGGGTAGGGAATATATTATTTTTTCAAACTCGGTACGTAACCAGCTATGTTTTTGCTCAAGGTCACGGTATTTTGGAGCGGTATTTTGGAACGGTATTTTTGTGTAGCGACCGTTCCTAGAGCGCGACACGGTTATGAGCGGTATTCCCATCACTAGTATGAATACTATGATTCATTAAACTAAAATTAGAACTAAAACTAGAACTAACACTAACAAAGTTCGAAGTGACTTCGAACCAGTTTCTGAAGAAGGTTGCAACATGGCATCCGAAACGTCAAACCTTTTATTAAAAGACGCACGGCAAAACCCGAAAGTTTCTAGTGTTAGTTCTAGTTTTAGTTCTAATTTTAGTTTAATTCACACCGGCCGTGAAAGCCTTCGTACTTATACTATGATTCATGCTACAAATAAATTTTTTCCAAGGCCATCTTCAATTTTAAGCGATAATTAACTTTTGTTTTTCAAATTGCTCCATATATTTTTCTTCAGGTCGTTAGATAGAGATTATTTTTCTGAATCCATTGATATACAATACTTCCATTTTTAATGTAATTTTAGCAGAGAAAATACTCTGTAACTCTGTCATTTTCCTTAAAATTTTCATGAGCGAGATGTCAAATGAAATGATTTGATGAATACTATGATTCATTCTACAAATAAACTTTTTCCAAGGCCATCTTCAATTTCAAGCGATTATTAAGTTTTGATTTTCAAAGTGCCTGGTATGTTTTTCTTCACGTTATTGGATAAAGACTCTTTTTCTGAACACACAGATGTACAATACATTAACATTAACCTTTAGAGGACCGGGACTATGTTATTGGATAAAGACTCTTTTTCTGAACACACAGATGTACAATACATTAACATTAACCTTTAGAGGACCGGTAAGACTATGTTATTAGTCTTTGTATATGATAAATATATCATATGAAGTACATTTTGTATCGATTTTCTTCAGACAATATGTTACCTAAAATCCCGGCCCTCTAAAGGTTAATTGCAATTTTAGCAGAGAAAAACAATTAAAACATTTTTCGAACATTGTCTTAGTCACTTCTGTAATACTGTAGTGTGCCACTGTAGCTTGAATTGACTTCTTGCCAAAGTGCAGAAAATTCTCGCTTATGGAGAGGTCGAGCAGTGATAAAATTAACAATTTTTGTTACATTCAAATCCTGATTTAGCACACAATACCTCCTGATGGATAATGTAATAGAATGGTACAATAAGATGTCTAACAGTTTCCATAAACATTTTGACCAATCCCACATTTTTTCAAACCATATTTGGTGTCTCATCTGTTATGACATGACCGACACAATTCACGATATCAATGTTTAAGTCACTGAATTTAGTCATATATTTCGTTTCCTGATATACTTATTGGCACTGATTCTAACTTTATCAACTCTTCTCTCATAGTGAGGCCATCAGAATATCTCGCAATAATGGTCAACCGAGCATTTGATGTGATATTAATTATTTGACTTTTTTAGTTGATGTACGTTTTTATTAAGATGTATCATTCTTTCTTTGATGGTATTTCTACTGAGTGGTAACTCAGAAATTCTTTTGTTAATATCATCTTTATTTTTCATATCGTCACTGAGGACTTTTCCATGTTGAACTATGGAATAAGCAACATAATAACTTGCTGATGCTAAATTGGTAGAGCTTTTTACAAATTTAACGATGGGTTTTGATTAAAATTTATAGACGTTTAACTGCCTAGCAATGTATTCCTTCCTATCATCCATAGTTTTCTTCAAGAGCTCACAATGAGTAGTTTCAAAGTGTCTTTTTATATTCCGTGTTACAAAATACACAATGCTCTGTTGTTTCTGTCGACAATTCCGTACATCTCTGTTCATATATCTTGGAAAAGTCGGCCTCAATCTTGCTTTTTTATTTTCCATTACGCGACTAGTAAAATGAAAAAATCACGAAAGATGTGACTTTCTGACCTGCTAAACTAGCTAACCTAACTATAAAACCTAATTAACTAATAATTATAAATTCAATTATGGAATTTCTTGTCTCAGTGGAGGTGTGTCATTCAAAATCAATTCGCATGTCACCTCTGACACACGTGTCATAGGTTCGCCATCACTGGTGTAGAGAATGTCCTAAAACATATTACTGCCAAGTATGTTGAAAGTAGTACCCATAGTATGGCTAAAAAAAATAAGGCGCTTACTCTGAAACACGAGCCATCGCCATTGTATAGAGGGGTGATGGCCTGAAGTGGCCATAAGTGGTCGATAATGGTGATGGTAATGGCAAAGATGGCTTTGGGAGCAGTGGGACACCAAGATTTGTATACAGCTAGTGTGCCATCTAGACTATACCACTGTGTGGAAGCAAACATGCTAGCCGTCATCAATGGTGACCATCATGGCGACCATTCTAGTAGCCCATCATGAGCCCTGGATTTTTTTGCTAAATTTCATTCTTCTAATTTCCTCCATAGCGGATTTATTAAATAAAAACAATTTTTTCCCCTAACTTTAGAGTGCTGTAACTGGATAGGGAAGAAGTTTTGAACAAAATTTAAGTTAATTTAATATAATTTTCCATTTTAGTTAGATGAATTGTTGGACAAACGTAATACAAGCTTAGACGCCGTCGTGGAATTTGGAATCGACGATAATTTGCTAGTGCGTCGTATAACAGGCCGCCTAATTCACCCGGCGAGTGGACGTTCTTATCATGAAGAGTTTCACCCACCAAAAACAACAATGAAAGACGATATTACCGGTGAACCTTTAATTCGCCGATCCGACGATAACGTCGATGCTTTGAAAAAGCGTTTAATTGCATATCACACACAAACCAAACCATTAGTCAACTATTACAACGCCCGTGGTATCCACCACCGTATTGATGCTTCCAAAGCTGCCGCGGATGTCTTTAATTGCATCGATAAGATATTTTTGAACGCTTCTGCACAACGCGCCGAAAGCAACTTTTAAATTCAAATTCTGTTCATGGGTTTTTTTTCAATTTTTCATATGGGTACCCAGGTTTTCATTGGTTTATTTACCATGTTGTTCATGCGATTTATTAGAATTGTTATAATTTACTCCGTTTGAGTATTTTATGAACATTTTTGTATGTTTGATGACAGATTAAATAAAATTGTTTATTATTATTTTTAGTGGTATATTTAATTTTTTTTTTATCCTTTCAAAATATACCAACTTAAAAATATAAAATATATATAAAGTGCAGAAACTGCATCTAAGGTGCACAGATTTCAACTACGATGTGTATCCTTGTTTTGTCGCCTATAGCAAGGCTTTCGACCGAGTCTAAGATTATAGTGAAAATTGGGGTCGACGGAAAAGATCTAAACATAATATCTCGACTATACTTGAATTAGCGATCAACCCCGGATGCGTATCCCTTTTATAATTCAACGTCTACTCTAAATATATATTCAGAAAGGCTCTCGAAGATCTTAATGAAGATATATTTGTAAATGGGAAAAAACTGAATAACACACTGATGATAAAATTATTATTTCAGATAGTCTGATAGGATTGTAGCAACTAATGTCTCGAGTGGAAGATGTCGACAAAACGAAATATATGATCATAAACAAGAAGGAGATTCCATATGCTAAATGACCAAAAAATAACACACTCAACGACCAATGGCGTTAATTTTTAGGAGCCAACTGCAAACATCAGACTCATGATAGAACATATATCTAACGAAAAAATTTTTTCAATAACGCAGAAAGACACAGAATTAATAACTACGATAAAAGAGCGTGGTTTGAAATTTTGATAATCAAGGTATAACCACTTAAAGAGAAATCTAAGATCTGAAAAGACTGCTCTATTACAAAAAGTACTAAAATGGGGCTAGTTGAATCATTGATTTTCTCAATGTTCCGATTTGGGATTGAAACGTGGATAATTAAAGCAGAAAGATAATTGATGCGTTTGAAATGTGGTGCTGGTGGCGCATGTTCCGAATTCCGCGTAGATTGAACGAATCGATCCTTAGAGAATTAAACATCCGAAATAGACTATCTTCTAATTGTCTTGCGGATATCGTGAGGTTTTTTGGACACATTTTAGAGACGGAATAATTTGCTAATGATCTCAATTTTCAGTAATGAGAGAATCACCAGAAAAAAAGAATGAAGTAAGTTGAGAAGAACGCCTTTCTTTCTTAGTCCGTCTCCACTTCTGGAGTTAGACTTCTTCCATGTTTTTCCATTTCTCTCTGTTTGACGCCATTTGCTGCCAATTTCCCTCAATCTTTTTGATGTCACTCACCCATCTCCGTTGTGGTCTTCCCACATTCCTATTTTATATCCGCGACCTCCACTGGATAGTAGTCAATCTTTGCCAATACGTCTTAAAGTAAATACACTCACGTAAATTTATCTAAATAACAACTTTATTGAAACTTCTAACAAAATATCAATGTAATTCAGTTCAGTGTTTGTGTTTCTCAAAACACACCCGTTTTAGTCCATCTTTTCTAGCGGTACACGTCTTTTTACCTCTGCCACGCACCAACTCTCATGTTCGACTTTCTCGATCTTGTTCAAACCTGTTCGTTTTTATCTAACGTCTCGGAACATTTCGAACGCGGGAATCACTCCATTGCCACCCCACGCTCCGCACTACCAACCCAAAATCCCCCGCACACAAAATATCCCTAACAGTCTATAATCTTAATTTCTGTTTCTTATTATTGCCCTCTCCATGGCTCTTTGATTTGTTCTTAGCTTATTACTTTTTTTTGTAAGCGCGGTGCTTTCCAGGTGATATATTGTTACCGGTAGTACGCAGGATTCAGGGTTTTTGAGGTTGAATCCGAGTTTCCCAAACTCTGTTATTTCGGCGGTCTGATTTTCTTTGCATTAATATGATTTTCGATCAAAAACCGGGGAGTATCCGGGCTCAAGAACTTTGTGTGTTGAAGGTTCATCCTTAGACCCACTTCTGCTGATACTTTATGAAGCGTCGCTTCTCATCAGTACGATGTCTCCAATACACATTTTCTCGTCTATAATCGTAATCTCTGTTCCTTATTACCTTAACATCACATTCACCAGGAAAAAGGATTACATAAAACAGGATTACATCCTTAACTATGATAAGTTGCGTCGAGTTACATCTACAGTTGATCTTGGTGTAACACTCGATCAGAAACTACTTTTCGATGTTCATGTAGATGGCTTTATAAAGCGATCTTCCGAGGATTTCACAAACTACAACGCAATTATAAGTATGTACAATGCATATGTTAACAGCATCTTAAACTTTGGTGGCGTAATCTGGAATCCTCAATATTCCGTATATATCACTAGGTTAGAAGGAATCCAGAAACGACTCATTAAATGTTTGTGTTATAAATCCCAACAAGTGTACAGTAACTATGCGTCTAATGCATATAATGACGTTTTATTTTTGTACAAGCTTGGCAATGGTCGTACCGATTCCTCATCGCTGATGGCGAGAATTGATTTTCATGTTCTGAAGATTGCGCACATCATGTGTAATTTAAATATTTAATAATGTTAATTTAAGATAACAACATATTTGTATCACATTAAATATTACTTTAAGGTTTTCATATATAATAATTATGTGGAGCAACTTTATTGGGTTTGTCCTGTTGTTGCTCCCCGATATCAATAAATAAATAAATTATTGCCCTCTCCATGGCTCTTTGATTTGTTCTTAGCTTATTACTTTTTTTGTAAGCGCGGTGCTTTCCAGATGATATATTGTTACCGGTAGTACGCAGGATTCAGGGTTTTTGAGGTTGAATCCGAGTTTTTCAAACTCTGTTGATTTCGGTGGTTTGATTTTTTTTGCATTAAAATGATTTTCGATCAAAAACTGGGGAGCATCCGGGCTCAAGATCTTTGTGTGTTGAAGGTTCATCCTTAGACCCACTTCTGCTGATACTTTATGAAGCGGCTCCAGCATACTCTTCAACTCCTCTGGGTCGCTTCTCATCAGTACGATGTCTCCAATACACATTTTCCTTTTTTTCTTTTTTAACCCGTCGCCACTCCTGGAAATAGGCCAACTTCACCTCCCAATCTTCTTAATGTCATTCAGCCATCTCCGTTGCGCCCAGTAATCAACGCTAATGCCTCTATGATCTTATTCTTTGTCTCCGAGTCTGATCTCTTTGGTTTGTTCTAAGCCTATTGGTATTATTTTTTGTAAGCGCGGTGCTTTCCAGGCGATATGTTATTACCGGTAGTACGCAGGATCTCTGTTATTTCGGTGGTCTGGTTTTCTTTGCCTTAATATAATAATAATAATAATTTATTGAGTCAATCGCCAAGAAGAAAATAACAAAGAAAATATAATAATAATAATTACAATAAAACACAGGTTGATCCTGATCCTATTTAAGAGCTTATCACACAAGATTATTTTTCGATAGAACTGACTAGCATGCACCAACCGTCTAGAATTCATATTTAGCCAATCTGCTAGAACAAGTGTATGACTGACATGGTCCCTTCGACTTAGTCCAAACAAGAATTTTGCCCCTTTTGTATTTTATGTTTTAGCTTATAGGAAATAAATAACCATGCTACCACAGAGCAGGTGTTTAGTGCTTTTGTTAATATACTTCCTGATGGGGTACATATATTTCAGATTTCCGTACGCCTTCTGTATACATTTATTTATATGTAAATTGAAATTAAGCGATTCGTCAATTATAACACCTAAATTCTTAACTTTTTCCTTAAGTTTTAATTTTATATCTTTAATTTTTTTTGGACCACAAAGTATCAACTCGGTTTTATCAGGCTTAACAAGAGTAGCCAAATTCGCCTTGTTTTGCACTGCTCTATCTTTTAATCCAATGTAATGCAAGATAGCAGACAACATCGATGCATTCATTCGGTCGAAGGCCTTAGAGTAGTCCAAGAGGCACAAAAGTGTAACCTTACCTTCATAAGTAGCCTTCAAGATATCATCTGTTATATTTAAGAGTGCAGTTACACAACTGTAGGAAGATAAGCAAGATATTATTTGTTGTAACATAAGAGTTTAATTCTTGCCATAATACTCTTTCCAACACCTTGGACAACACAGGCAGAATGCTTATAGGGCGCAGATCAGAAAACTCTTTTGACTGTTTAGTTTTAGCTAAAGGTACGATTAATGCTCTCTGAAGGAAAACTTCCAGTAGAAATACTAGTATTAATAATGTTTGTAAGTTGAGGAACAATATTGGGAATATTTTATCGCTTGACTCTTAATTCAATAAGATCTCCAAAACTTTACCATTGGTATCTTCGTTCACAATTTCAGGGATTCCAAGTAAGCGAATATTGTTCAAGTCGGTCGGTATCTTCTCGTAATTTTAAATTTTCTTTCTCAAGCACATTAACTCTCCTTGTCTGTTCTTCTAAGAGCCGTCCGAATCGAGTTTGAAGGCCGCCAACCAGTTTTTCCATAATACTGTCGAGTATTTCATCGTCTGAGTAAACCTCCCTTATAGTTTGTTTAATCATTTCTTCAATTTCAGAGATCTGAGCTTTATTAAATACCGGCATGGCTGATCTATATAGAGTTAACAAACCAACTCGGGGGGAGAATTGTATCGATAATGTTTTTATTAATTTTAACTCGTGTCACGCTGAGGCCAAGCTGTCGTGTCGGATCATCGTGGAATCGAGTTGCGATGCATTCTGGAAGAAGTGATCTCAAATGATAGGCTCCTAACGACTAGACCATTAACTCAGAAAGGAAGAATTTTGTTTTATAATCATGTGTCTGAGCTGAATTGGGATTTTATTACTAATAGCTGCTTAACAGCAGAAAACAAATTCAATGTTTTTCTTGATAAATTGCTACATTCCTACAATGAGTCTTTTCCGAAACGAAAACGCGCTATAATTGATTTTGTTGAAAATGTGTTAACATGTTTTGAGGATGGAGAGTACTTGACAGCTATTTTTTGCAACCTAAGTAAGGCTTTCGATTGTGTACAACATGATCTATTACTAAAGAAATTAGCTAAATATATCTCCGATTCTGGAAGCGTTGCTTTAATAAAAACTTATTTAACTAATATAACACAAATTGTAAACTGTCATGGTAACTTATCTAAGGAAATGATCGTTAATATCGGGGTTCCTCAGGGGTCAATCCTGAGACCTCTTCTTTTCTTAATTTACGTCAATGATCTAGCTAACAGCATTCACGGTGCGTCCGTAATCATGTATGCAGACGACACCACTTTAATCAGTAAAAGCAAGAATTCCCAGACTGCTTGTGGTTTAGCTAATTCATCGAAGACTAATGCCGAGCTGTGGTTTGCAATGAATAAATTGAGTCTGAATGAAGATAAAACAGTTTTATCAACGTTTACACTTCGAAGGCAGTTTAACGTTAATCCGAGTAGTGTAAGATTTTTGGGGGTTTATCTTGATGCTTCATTGACTTGGGAGCAACACACGAACGCGGTTTGTGGGAAGCTCAGTGGTAGCGTTTTTTTTCTGCGGGTTTTGAGTAAGAACGTGTCGCGGCAGTCACTACGGATTGCATATTTTTCCCTCTGCCAATCATTGATGTCGTATGCAATAGTTGCATGGGGTGGGGCCTCATTGTGCGATCGTGTCTTCAGACTACAGCGACTACAGCAGTCCGCGTCCTCAATAATGTAAAGTATCGTGATGACTGCAGGAATTCTTTTGTTTCATTGAAAATTCTGACATTTCCTTCATTGTATATATACCACAGCATACTCTACATTAAGGTACAGAGTCAGCATTTTGTCACACATGTTGAGGTCCATAACCACCACACTAGAAACAATGGGCGTCTCATACCTAAATATTCCAGATTATCAAGGGGTCACCAAAGTGTAAATATTGTTGCTGTCAAGTTTTTTAATAAACTGCCACTCACTGTCGCCGGATTGCCTCTTAAATCTCTAAAGAACTGTCTTCATAAATTCCTGGTTGAGCGGGCCTACTACTCATGTACTGACTTTTTAAACGATGCAATTACGTCCGAAAATTTCAATATATGTGTATCGGAACCGTAATTAATTTTGACTCTTATTGATCACGTGCGTAATTTGCTGTGTTTTGTTGCGTTTATTTTCGTAATTACGACTATTGTTGCTATAATTAATGTATTGCGTTTGCTATGTTATAATTATTATTGTACTTGTCTGTACGGTTATTGTAGATTGTAGTACTGATTGACGAGTGTAACACTTGAATGTTTTTGCACAATAAAGATATTATGTGCACAATAAAGATATTATTATATTATTATACGTTTACCAATAGATCCAATATACTTTTAAGCCAAAAGCTCACCTTCGTACCACTTTAAACACCGTTCTTAACTCTTCGCACGTACGTCGACACAGTACAGCGCATTTCAAACATCAATGATTTGATGTTCAATCATTTGATACATCAATTCTTTCAAAACTTCGTATGTTTGATATTGACGAACATCTTGTGCGTTGGTTTGCCTTCTATACACGTGGAAGGACTTTAAAGGTCATAAATACATAAGGTCAAAAAATGGTCATTTTTCGGACAGCATGATTCACTTATTAATCGGTTAATTTAATTTCGGACAGCATGATTATGAGCCGCTTCATATATTCTCCAGCATATTCTTCAACTCCTCTGGGTCGCTTTTTATCAGTATGATGTCTCCAATACACATTTTTCTTTTTTCTTTTTTAGCCCATCTTCACCAGGGTTGCTTGTCGACGCGTCGACATTTTTGTTGACACTTGACCTCGACGTACTTATTCGACACGAAGACAATGTCAAATGTCGACAACGTCAACAATTCGTTTTTTGAGGTTGTATTCATTTAATGTATAGTGCGATTAGAGCGTGGTGATGGCGAAAAATGGAAGGGTCGATAAAATGTCGACAAAAATTTTTGTCGACCTGACATTGTCGACACGTCGACAATTGATTTCTTGAAGTCGTAATGTCGACACAACACAACCCTGATCTTCACTCGTTGAAGTAGGCCAATTTCTCCTCCCAATCTTCTTGATGTCATCCAACCATCTCCATTGCGCTCAGTAATCATCATACCTCTATGATCTTATTCTTTGTCTCTGAGTCTGATCTATTTGGCTTTTGAGCAGCACGGCTTCTGTTTTTTTTTAGTAATCACTCTCTGCATTGTAATTTGTGCATTTTGGCCTCGATTTTGGCGCATGTCCTCGACCTCCCATCCACTGATCACTATGTCAAATCATCTGCATATGCGAAGAGTTTTCCCTCATCTAGGTTTTCTCTCTGTTCTTGTACCAGTAGCTGATCAAAGAAGACATTCCATAGTATTGGTTCCAGTACGGGGCACTCCTCTACTGATCTTGTATGTGTGTCCATCATATTTAATAGCTCGTTCGCTTAGGTAATCTTTAATTATATTCAATAGATTCCTTTTTTTTTGCAACGTTTCCACTATTTTTTCCCAGGGGGCTAGTCCGAAGGCGTTTTTGACGTCTACTGCAACTAATAAGTTTTAAAATCATTTTCTCAAGATTCTTAAGACTCAAGAGCTTTATCTTTTGAAGCTTCATCCTTAGATTTAACTATTTTAGGTCGCTGCTTATCAGTACGATGTTGTCCGTGGTATTTCTAGGCTAACTTTAGAACTCCTCCATCTTTAATTACATTATACAACACAATTACGAAAATTAACTTACTACCGCCATCTTTTAGCAGTATTAACAACCTCAAAAAAAATATGTAAGAAGGAAATTTAAATTAATTCATTAATTTAAGTATTAATAAAGTTAAAGGTTTTTTTTTATTATTTATTTATATGGATTGTGTGGAAGTGGTGACGTCATGCTTACGTGTTAGGGAGAATTTGGTGACGTAATATGAGAAAATGAGACAACCTCTTATTCGCAACTTTGACTTTTACAGTGTTCTGCAATGATCTACCGTCTACAGTACGTCCTGTAAGTCGCTTAACGACGTTTCCTTTCCTTTTTATTATTTTATGGTTTCCAGTAGCGCAGAGTGCTCGGCAACGTGACGGTAGTGTCTTTCTGGTTCTGTGTACGTTTCGTCGTGTTTTCGACGTTCGTTGAACCTAATGGAATGGAATTAATGGAAACCCCGTTAAGAGTTTAGACGGTGCCTTCGCTTAGGTGGGTTTTTATTTTTTCCATTTTTATTCCGGGTGGGGCTAAGGAAATAAGTGCGGGTGTTAAAAGTCTGATTTTTTTTCAGACCATGTAGATTATTAAGTATTTGTTTGAAAACATAAACGGGGATTTAAATAAGGCGAATTTCGACGATTAAAATGTCTAAGAATAAACTTAACCTCACTTTACCTCCGGGTTTACTCGATCAAAATCAAACTGTTACACCTACAAACGTTGCTTTTCCAGAAGCATCAATAGCGTAAGTTAAATTAAATAACTAAAATTATTACTAATTAAATAAATAATTGAATATTACTTTTTAGGCCTAATAATTTAGTGGGTGGAAATAGTATTGATAACTTAACAGCGCGTTTAGAAGAATTAGATATGGATGATGTGCAAAAAAAGCGTATAGAAGAGTTTCTTTGTCAAAAAGAGAAAATTGATGGGGAGTTGAGCGATGATGATTTTGAAAAATTGGGGGAGCTTGGTTCTGGAAATGGAGGTGTTGTGATGAAAGTTCGCCATAAAGTCTTAGGGCTCATAATGGCGAAAAAATTAATTCACTTAGAAGTGAAACCAGCAATAAAAAAGCAAATTCAGCGCGAATTGAAAGTTTTGCATGATTGTAATTTTGCGCATATCGTCGGTTTTTATGGCGCGTTTTATAGCGATGGGGAAATTAGTATTTGTATGGAATATATGGATGCGGGGTCTTTGGATTTAATATTGAAGAAAGCTTCTAGAATTCCAGAGAATATTCTTGGTAAAATCACTTTGGCGGTTTTGAAGGGGTTGAGTTATTTGAGAGAGAAACATTCGATTATGCACCGAGATGTTAAGCCCAGTAATATTCTAATTAATAGTAGTGGTGAAATCAAAATATGCGATTTTGGCGTTTCTGGGCAGTTAATTGACTCAATGGCTAATTCTTTTGTTGGTACAAGAAGTTACATGTCTGTAAGGAGAAAAATGTTTTTTTAAGATGAATTTTTTAATAAATTTTTTTTTAAACAGCCAGAACGTTTACAAGGCACTCATTATTCCGTACAAAGTGATATATGGTCCTTAGGTTTATCACTGGTTGAGATGGCGATAGGAATGTATCCGATTCCCCCACCGGATGCGAGAACTTTGGCTTCGATATTTGGACCAAAAGCGGATGGGGAATCACCCGGGCATACAAACGGACCCAGACCAATGGCTATTTTTGAACTCTTAGATTACATAGTGAATGAGCCTCCACCCAAATTACCATCAGGAATTTTCAGTGATGAATTTAAAGATTTTGTTGATAAATGTCTTAAGAAAAATCCAGAAGAACGTGCCGATTTAAAAAGCCTTATGGTAATAATAATATTTATTATCCATGTCCACTGAACATTTTTATGTAACATATGTGAATTTGAAAATTTTCGGCTCCATGATTTCTTTTTAGCGCAAGTTAATTGGTAAAAATACCCGATTTTTGAGGGTGTCGGCAATTTTGCCCATTTTGCGATTTTTCAATTTTGATATTCCATATAGTTTCGCAGAAAATCGCTGTTTAAGCGAAGCTTAGCATACAAGTAGTACCAGAGATGTAGTGAGATGAGATTAGATGTAAATTTATATTTACAGAACAACATCCTCAAAATACAGTCTTTAATACACAATCAGTTTTCCTCAAATGCGAAACCCCTGCAACTTGTTTCAAAAACTGCAATAACTGGTGTGAACTCTGCAATGATATTGCAATAATTAAATGTGCTGTACTAATTTTAAAGTATAAATCAAAACGGTAGCGTCGTTCATCCTGGGTAGCGCTAACAATAAGAAAGGTTTGATTGTTACATGCATCACTACTTGTAGGTTACTTGTGGTAGTTTTTGATATAAATATTAAATAATTATTCGTGAGACGATCTTTTTTATAAAAAGAAACTATTTTATTTCATACTAATATTTCGATCGTTTTTTTCGATCTTCATCAGAGTATAACTAAAATACAAAAGCAACTAAAAATAACAATCTTACAATAAAAGTTAATTACTTACAAATTATATTATTATTTATTATTAATTTTGTTATTATTAATTATAATTAATTATTAGTTGCTTTTGTATTTTAGTTATTAAGTTATTTTATTATTAATATTATTATCAATTGCGATCGATTAATTTCTTTTATTTATTGTTTTTGATATTAACCTTTTTTCTAGAAATCCACCTTAAAATTATCCTCATTTCTTACAATTTTTAAAATTTTTAACAAGGGGGTACACTTTAAAAAAATGCGCCCGCCATTTTGTGTCCTCCATTTTGAATTTTCGAAAACGGACATCAAATTCGTCATGATTTCGCAACAATCGCAAAAATAACGTGTAAAATAATCGAGCTTATCTCCACACTCATGCATTTCTGAAGTGATACCCTACATTGCCACATTATTGCGATATTTGAATAAAAATGAAATTAATAAGAAAGCTGATAAGATATGTTAACTTATTTGGATCCAAGATACAAAATGAACTTTTTTGACGCTGATTTAACTAACGAAGCAACTCTAAAAAGAGGATACTTTAATTAATAATTAGCGATTTCAAATATCGTTACCGTAATATCGTTAGTTATCGAAAATTTTATATGAAAGAAAAATAAAAAACTTCTTACTTGCTAGAATTTTAATTTATACGGTACAAGTTTCGAGCCATTAAGCTCATCCTCAGCCGAATTGTCAAAATCACTATTAAAACATTTGCAAAATCCTTAAAATACATGAATAATGTTTACTATTTATAATTAAAAATAAACGACATATCAAAAAAAATTGTAACATGGAAAATTTTACCAAAACTTCAAATATTGTTTTCTCAAAAACTAAAAGTTATTTTTCAAAACGGGTTGGTTCATTGGAAAGAGGACACTTTTATTAACACTTTGGGAAAGTTTCAAACTCATATTCCAAGAAATGCATTTTATACGAATTTTTAAAACTTAATAATTGCAAAATTCGAAAAAATTGTTGATCATTTCAAAAATTTATTTCTCAAGAACTAAAAGTGATTTTTCAAAACGGCTTGTTGCATTTAAAAGAGGATAGTTTAATTAATAATTGGTGGTATTTCCACAAGGATCCTTCAAGAAATTAATTTTATAGCGAATTTTGAAAATTATCGATGAAAATTGCAACATCGAAAATTTTATCAAAACTTCAAATATTGTTTTCTCAAAAACTAAAAGTTATTTTTCAAAACGGGTTGGTTCATTGGAAAGAGGACACTTTTATTAACACTTTGGGAAAGTTTCAAACTCATATTCCAAGAAATGCATTTTATACGAATTTTTAAAACTTAATAATTGCAAAATTCGAAAAAATTGTTGATCATTTCAAAAATTTATTTCTCAAGAACTAAAAGTGATTTTTCAAAACGGCTTGTTGCATTTAAAAGAGGATAGTTTAATTAATAATTGGTGGTATTTCCACAAGGATCCTTCAAGAAATTAATTTTATAGCGAAATTATCGATGAAAATTGCAACATCGAAAATTTTACCAAAACTTCAAATATTGTTTTCTCAAAAACTAAAAGTTATTTTTCAAAACNTAGAGTGTGGCCGTTTAATAATTTTAGCACTTCTTTAGTTTTCGGCATTTTGACTCAAACACTGATACGATACGATAGGTTATTTATTAGCACGCGTCTGTAGGGATGTTATCTTAACAACAACTGATGTACAACTAACGCTTCGGTCTCTGTGCGTGTCTAGACTTGTCCGAAATACTAGTGTACAAATACTTTTGTGACATCGTATTTCAGATTTTACTCAATATTCCATTCGGAAAATACTTATTAATTATTTCAAATGTATACTATTTCTCAGAACATATATCCGATTAGAGAAAATGTAAAAAAAATAATGCTTCATATGCTGTTTAGCTTTTTTTTTTAGTAAATTGGTCCTGTGCAAATACTTAAGTGACCCACTGTAAATAAAGTTGTATTCAATGAAAAAAGTCCTATTGGGGTTGAACTTGCTTATTATCTGCAGTTTCCAATGCCTAAAAGAGTTATTATTAAAATTTCTTTTTGTCTATAAAATCAAATTTTATTGAACAATCATGATATAGGTTTTGATGTATATTTTAGCTGTATTCTATAAAGATTAATTCAAAATTTTTCCAACGACAAAGGAGCTTCTTAGGACGCTGTCCTTGTTTCAAGCGTACTAGTTATCTAAAATAAATAAATATAGATATACAGCGTGTCTGTAAAGTGGCGGATATAGGCGATAAAATCATAAACAGTTTATGGAAAAATCCCTGAAACGGGTCTAAAGATTTAAATTTTTTGGTGTAGGTATCAAATTCTTTCCACCATTTTGAATCGAGTTATGACGTCATCGATATTTTTTTCAAATGGCAATCAACCATTTCTATTACGGAATATGAGAGAGGATTTTTTTCTGAAGCTAGTACATTCAATATTAATAATAATATTGGTTACATAAGAAAATTTTCGAGAAAAATTATTTTTAAGTTTGATTACTTCAAATTTGTCTAAATGATAAAAATAGTAGTACAATTTCCTAAGTGTCAAAAACTGATTTAGTAAGTAGCTGACCTCTTTAATACAACATATCGTGGTTGCAGGGCCACGTCCAATAAGTGTTGCAACGCGACGTAAAGTAAGGATGTGAATCCACGTTTTTTCCAGGTTTCGCCTCCAGATACTGTTCATTGTTGATCATTATGAAAGTCATTACTTCTCATAGCATCTCTCTCTTCTTTGACGGCATTTATAGACAATAAATCAAAGACCGCGGAAAAAGCATGAAATTTTAGTAGCAGTATGAAATTTTCAGGGTATTTTAGTAGCAGTTCTAATTAGGGATGGAATGAAAGTTCGGCCGAATCAGTATCAATGATTGCGGCTGATCTGATAATGAATGGTTGTAAAAGTTATTAATTATATTTTATTGAAAAAAATATGCAAATGTAAAAATAGAATTTGATTAATACTCAAAATTACATTTTTGTAAATTTTGGTGTATAAAAAGTATTTTTTCTGCCTTGATTGGAATTAATCTAGATGTTGTGTACAAATATATTTGAGCTATTTTGCTTAATTCGGGATACTGTATGGTCTTTCCTCCAAATAATAGGATCATACTATAGGTAAAAAAAATTATCTTCACTTTTTGTGGCAGTACTTTTTCATTGGCTTGGTGTAATGATGAACCAGCAGTACCAACAATATCATTATAACATTGCCATAAAGACTTAATTTCATATGCAGATAATTTCTTCTTCTTTAGGTTGTTACTCTACTTCTTTAATTATATAGTTCTAAAGTTTATTCCAAGGAATGTTGTCTGATTAAGTGCAGTATTATTTGCTGATAAATATATAATTAAACATCTTTTTAGTTGATATAGTCGCTGAAGCATATAGAAGTTGGTGTATTTTGTACAACTTTTCTTTGTGTCATGTTCAAATCATGCTGAATAGATTTTGATTTATTACATGCTAAAGAAGAGTGTGAAGCAATGTGTAACAATTCATCTAGCGCAAGCTATCTACCCAGACCTTTATGTATAAATAAAACAACTTTCGCTATCTATTCTAGCATCCATAATATATATGCAGCTATTAATCTAGCTAATAAATATAGTAATTTGATTAATTTGTATGTTCCATAATCTCTATATTTTTTTTAGCGATTTAAGCGAATTACAAATTAAAAAGAAACAGAAATAAGTCTGAAAAGGTGCGCGTTCCAGACTGGACGTCGCGTCTTTATTTCTTTATGTAGGTAAAATAAAGGAGCGTATAAATATTTTTCGCATTGGGTTTTATTATTTGGGTTTTTTTTGTAGTTTCCGTTTCGTTTACTTTTCTCATTTAATTCACTATAAGAAAAAAACATGGAGTCGAAAATTTTCAAATCCACAATTTTTTTTGTTGCTTTTATTGGTTAACATTTTTTTTTTAAATTTAGAATCATGCATGGATAAGAAGAGCAGAGCAAGAAGATGTTGATATAGCTGGTTGGGTTTGTAAGACCATGGAACTTCAGCCAAACACCAGCAATAAAGTGTGAAAAAAATGTTTGATTAAGACATGATGGTGTAATTTCGCGCACGGCTGTGAATGATTTTTCCAAACAAGTATACAGGGTGATTGGTAATTAATTTTTCTATTATTTACAATAATCCTGTATATATTACCGGTGAATTCAAAACAAGAATTTTTTTTATATAATCACATCACTTCGTTACAGAACTTACGTTCTCTTCATTACAGAAATTAGATTGAAAATAAAATAATTATTAATAATAACCTTTAGATTTAAAAGAAAAATGAGTGAAATTATTAACTAAAAATTGTAATCTAGACGAGTTAAAACCATTTACTCACAAGGTTATCCAAAAAAAATTCTCTTTAAATATTCGTCATTGTGTGGTTGGTAGACCGTTTACATAGTCTGTGTTTAGATATATTATCTTTTTTATGTTTTTTAATAATAACATTGAAATCGTATATTAATAGTTTTATAATTATCTAATTAATTCTAAATTTTAATGATTCAAATTGAACTATTACTATGGTATTTTAAAAATCAATAATAAATCACTTTTTATAGAAGCAACATTGTTTTTTAATCGACTTTCTCTTCATTTTTTCTCTTAAAAGTTTGTTTTTATTAAAATCAAAGTACAAAATTAAATTAATAATAATAATTTACTTACTTGGTAACAAATATGTATGCTAAATTGTGTGTTTTTTATGATTTTATAAATAAGAGTATTTTTAAATACACATTTACATGCCTCTATGTCAGCCTAACATACAAAATTCATTTTACTTATTTCACAAATTATTTACGCTGATTATCTGATTTATCCATCCTATAAAAGCTGACACTTTTACGTAAACACCCGGCACGTTTTCTCTGCCACAACCAAAACCCCACGATACCAAACCAGCCAATTCATAAAATCCATCATCTTGGCATACTAATGGACCACCTCCATCACCCTATTTATAAAAAATGTAAACAGTTTAATAACAACTAAAATACTATAAGAACTATAAGATAATTATATCGATTGTATTTTTAAGAATCTTTAAATATATTATATAAAAACTAATATATTATTGAAATTTCTAGGAAAAAATTATTAAAGAAAATATTGTCAAATTTAAAAATCAAGAATAATAGGAAATTTTAAAAAATCATACCGACTGTATTTTTAAGAATAATGATATGACATGTATGTTAAATGGAAGCTTAAAGATTCTAGTTTATGATATGATATAAAAATTATAAGAGAATATTATTGAAATTCCCAGGAAAAAATTATTAAAGAAGAAATTGTTACATTTTTAAAGCAAAAATGCGAAATTTTCAAAAAATCACATCATCTGTATTTTTAAGAATCTTTATGTGATATGTATGTTAAATTGAAGCTTAAAGATTCTAATTTATGGTATGATATAAAAACTATAATATAATATTATTAAAATTTCCAGGAAAAAATTATTAAAGAAAATATTGTCAAATTTAAAAATCAAGAATAATAGGAAATTTTAAAAAATCATACCGACTGTATTTTTAAGAATAATGATATGACATGTATGTTAAATGGAAGCTTAAAGATTGTAGTTTATGATATGATATAACAATTATAAGATGATATTATTAAAATTCCCAGGAAAAAATTATTAAAGAAGAAATTGTTACATTTTTAAAGCAAAAATGCGAAATTTTCAAAAAATCACATCATCTGTATTTTTAAGAATCTTTATGTGATATGTATGTTAAATTGAAGCTTAAAGATTCTAATTTATGGTATGATATAAAAACTATAATATAATATTATTGAAATTTCCGGGAAAAAATTATTAAAGAAAATATTGTCAAATTTAAAAATCAAGATAATAGGAAATTTCAAAAATCACATCGACTGTATTTTTAAGAATAATCATAAGACATGTATGTTAAATTGAAGCTTAAAGACTCTAGTTTATGGTATGATATAAAAACTATAATATAATATTATTGAAATTCCCAGGAAAAATTATTAAAGGAATTGTAAAATTTTTAAATCAAAAAGCGAAATTTTCAAGAAATCATATCGACTGTATTTTTAAGAGTCTTTAGATGATATGTATGTTAAAGTGAAGCTTAAAGATTCTAGTTTATGATATGATATAAAAGATGTAAGATAATGTTATTGAAGTTTCCAGGAAAAAATAATTAAAGAAGAAATTGTAAAATTTTTGTATCAAAAATAATGCGAAATTTTCAAAAAATCATATCATCTGTATTTTTAGGAATCTTTATGTGATATATATGTTAAATTGAAGCTTAAAGATTCTAGTTTACGGTCTGATATAAAAACTACAAGAAAATATTGTTAAAATTAAAAATCAAGAATAATAGGAAATTTCAAAAAATCACATTGACTGTATTTTTAAGAATAATAATATGACATGTATGTTAAATGGAAGCTTAAAGATTCTAGTTTATGATATGATATAAAAGATGTAGATAGTATTATTGAAATTTCCAGAAAAAAATAATTAAAGAAGAAATTGTTAAATTTTTGATTCAAAGATAATGCGAAATTTTCAAAAAATCATATCATATGTATTTTTAGGAATCTTTATGTGATATATATGTTAAATTGAAGCTTAAAGATTCTAGTTTACGGTCTGATATAAAAACTATAATATAATATTATTGAAATTTCCAGGAAAAAATTATTAAAGAAAATATTGCCAAATTTAAAAATCAAGAATAATAGGAAATTTCAAAAAATCACATCGACTGTATTTTTAAGAATAATGATATGACATGTATGTTAAATGGAAGCTTAAAGATTCTAGTTTATGATATGATATAAAAGATGTAAGATAGTATTATTGAAATTTCCAGGAAAAAATAATTAAAAAAGAAATTGTTAAATTTTTGAATCAAAAATAATGCGAAATTTTCAAAAAATCATATCATCTGTATTTTTAGGAATCTTTATGTGATATATATGTTAAATTGAAGCTTAAAGATTCTAGTTTACGGTCTGATATAAAAACTATAATATAATATTATTGAAATTTCCAGGAAAAAATTATTAAAGAAAATATTGCCAAATTTAAAAATCAAGAATAATAGGAAATTTCAAAAAATCACATCGACTGTATTTTTAAGAATAATGATATGACATGTATGTTAAATGGAAGCTTAAAGATTCTAGTTTATGATATGATATAAAAGATGTAAGATAGTATTATTGAAATTTCCAGGAAAAAATAATTAAAAAAGAAATTGTTAAATTTTTGAATCAAAAATAATGCGAAATTTTCAAAAAATCATATCATCTGTATTTTTAGGAATCTTTATGTGATATATATGTTAAATTGAAGCTTAAAGATTCTAGTTTATGATATGATATAAAAGATGTAAGATAATATTATTGAAATTTCCAGGAAAAAATAATTAAAGAAGAAATTTTTGAATCAAAAATAATGCGAAATTTTCAAAAAATCATATCATCTGTATTTTTAGGAATCTTTATGTGATATATATGTGAAATTGAAGCTTAAAGATTCTAGTTTACGGTCTGATATAAAAACTACAAGAAAATATTATTGAAATTTCCAGGAAAAAATTATTAATGAAAATATTGCCAAATTTAAAAATCAAGAATAATAGGAAATTTCAAAAAATCATATCATCTGTATTTTGAAGAATCTTTATGTGATATATATGTTAAATTGAAGCTTAAGGATTCTTGTTTATGATATGATATAAAAACTATAATATAATATTATTGAAATTTCCAGGAAAAAATTATTAAAGAAGAAATTGTTAAATTTTTAAATCAAAAAAAAGCAAAATTTTCAAAAACCGTATCATCTGTATTTTTAAGAATCTTTATGTGATATATATGTTAAATTATAGTTTGAAGATTCTAGTTTATGATATGATATAAAAACTATAATGTAATATTATTGAAATTTCCAGGAAAAAATTATTAAAGGAGTTATCAAATTTTTAAATATAAAAAAAACGAAATTTTCAAAAAATCATATCGACTGTATTTTTAAGAATCTTTAGATGATATGTATGTTAAAGTGAAGCTTAAAGATTCTAGTTTATGATATGATATAAAAGATATAAGATAATATTATTGAAATTTCCAGGAAAAAATAATTAAAGAAGAAATTGTTAAATTTTTGAATCAAAAATAATGCGAAATTTTCAAAAAATCATATCATCTGTATTTTGAAGAATCTTTATGTGATATATATGTTAAATTGAAGCTTAAGGATTCTTGTTTATGATATGATATAAAAACTATAATATAATATTATTGAAATTTCCAGGAAAAAATTATTAAAGAAGAAATTGTTAAATTTTTAAATCAAAAAAAAGCAAAATTTTCAAAAACCGTATCATCTGTATTTTTAAGAATCTTTATGTGATATATATGTTAAATTATAGTTTGAAGATTCTAGTTTATGATATGATATAAAAACTATAATGTAATATTATTGAAATTTCCAGGAAAAAATTATTAAAGGAGTTATCAAATTTTTAAATATAAAAAAAACGAAATTTTCAAAAAATCATATCGACTGTATTTTTAAGAATCTTTAGATGATATGTATGTTAAAGTGAAGCTTAAAGATTCTAGTTTATGATATGATATAAAAGATATAAGATAATATTATTGAAATTTCCAGGAAAAAATAATTAAAGAAGAAATTGTTAAATTTTTGAATCAAAAATAATGCGAAATTTTCAAAAAATCATATCATCTGTATTTTTAAGAATCTTTATGTGATATATATGTTAAATTGAAGCTTAAGGATTCTTGTTTATGATATGATATAAAAACTATAATATAATATTATTGAAATTTCCAGGAAAAAATTATTAAAGAAGAAATTGTTAAATTTTTAAATCAAAAAAAAGCAAAATTTTCAAAAACCGTATCATCTGTATTTTTAAGAATCTTTATGTGATATATATGTTAAATTATAGTTTGAAGATTCTAGTTTATGATATGATATAAAAACTATAATGTAATATTATTGAAATTTCCAGGAAAAAATTATTAAAGGAGTTATCAAATTTTTAAATATAAAAAAAACGAAATTTTCAAAAAATCATATCGACTGTATTTTTAAGAATCTTTAGATGATATGTATGTTAAAGTGAAGCTTAAAGATTCTAGTTTATGATATGATATAAAAGATATAAGATAATATTATTGAAATTTCCAGGAAAAAATAATTAAAGAAGAAATTGTTAAATTTTTGAATCAAAAATAATGCGAAATTTTCAAAAAATCATATCATCTGTATTTTTAAGAATCTTTATGTGATATATATGTTAAATTGAAGCTTAAAGATTCTAGTTTATGATATGATATAAAAACTATAATATAATATTATTGAAATTTCCAGGAAAAAATTATTAAAGAAGAAATTGTCAAATTTATAAA